TACAGCTTCATTTGCCCATCTGGTGAAGGAAGTTTCTCAGAATTTTATATTCACTGCAGGATGGTTATGGTAACATTATAAAATTTCATGACTTTTATAAGGCCCATGCTGACCTCTGTAGAACAACTCAGAAGTTAATCAGGAAAGATAACCAAGCAAAAATGTCAAAGAATAGAACAGGAAACATTTTTACATATCTAGCTTTACCAGACAAGGAACTGGATTATAATACAGTTACAACACATGTAAACATGGTGACAGTAAGGGAACTCAGGTGGCCAGAACAATGAAGAAAACAATCCCAGATATGGTCATATTATCAGTAGTAATTAAGTTTAGAATTAGATGTTAATACAGAAGAAAAGAGCTTTCCAGTAAATGGTAATGGGATAAATGCCTGGCACTCTAGACACAAATTGATTTAGATGCTCATCTCAAATCATAGATAAAAATAAACAAAATTCTAATGGAATATAGAAAAAAATGTGAAGGGGGGCACCTGGGTGGCTCAGTTGGTTGAGCATCTGACCCTTGATTTCAGCTCAGGTCATGATCTCGAGGTTCCTGAGTTCGCCTCGCATCGGGCTCCACAAGGATGGGGCAGAGCCTGCTTGGGATTCTCTCTCTTCCCTCTCTCTCTGCCTCTCTCTCTTCTCTGACCCTCTCCCACTTGTGCACACGTGTGGTCTCTCCCAAAATAAATAGACTTCAAAAAAAAAAAAAAGAAGAAGAAAGAAATGTGAAGTATTTAAAACATAAATGGGAACTGATAATTCATAAGATCTGTGGAGGAATGAGGACGGAGAGTACTGGTGTTCTGCACATTCAACACACCAGCACTCAGAGAAAATATAAAGAAAATGGGCTGTTATTTGTAAATATGAAACTGACAAAGAGGTACATCATAGGACTGTAGCCACAATCTGCATGACGTTTATACCCACTTTTCAGAAGTAAGGATATATAAAAACAAAATTCATCAGGACAGTACAAAACTAGTTAATGTCGTAAAATGAAACCCAAATAAAGAGAACTAAAACTAGCAAACAAAGCAAATGAAAGAACATTCTAGCCCACAAGTACATAAACATGATTGAACAGTGATGCCTGACATTTTAGCCTATTAAATAAGCAATTATTTAAAAGAAATAAAATACTGATTTTATACGCTTGGTGCCACTACACCCATTCCTGGAACTCTATCCCCCAAAATGTTTGTAAAAAGGTTGCACCTGATTTTGAAAAATTTTTAATTTATCTTTATATTATCCCAATTTTTTTCCTTTCAGGTCCTTCCCTATTTCTCTTCTTTCCTTCACAGATAAACCTTCTCAAGAAAAGTTTCTATCCACTCTGTCTCCAATACCTCTTATCTTATTTACTCTCAGTCAATACACTCTGATCTGGATTCTGGGGCACGAATTCTGCCAAACCTCACTTTCCCTGAAGACAAGACATCACCTTTTGACATATCTCTTGCCTTAAACACCTCTCATCACCCTTGTCTCCTGCTTGTCCTCCTATTGTGCTGCCTCCATTCCAGTGTCGTTCTCAGGCTCCTTATTCTTTCCCCCCATGAAATTGTGAAGGTCCCTACGGTTCAATTTGTGGTAGGCTTTCTATTTTCTATGTCTAAAAGACCTCATTCATTCCTTAGCATTTAGGGACCAGGTATACTTCGGCTCCCAAGTTAACATTTCTAGCCATAGCACTCTGCAAATTCTAGAACTGTGCAACACATATCAGGGCTTAGTATTTTTGCATCCTCCAGTTTCTGGTGATAGATGCTACTTTTCTTTTGCTTTCTGTGTTAGTCTATAATGTAGTTGAAATTAATTAGCTGATTGCTTAAGACTTTCATGTTTCCTTCCAACAAAAAGGAAAAGTTCCAAGAGGGATGGCACTTGGTTTTCTTTATTCAGCTTTTTATCTTGAAGGCAGGCATAGCGCCTATGATTTAGAGACTTAAGTATTACATGTAGTTTGGATGAAATGAATGGATGAACTGTACCTTTAATTAAGCTACAAAAACAGTCTTGGTATTTATTTATTAAAAATAAACCAATACAAAAAGATTTGAAAGTAAAACTTTAAACAGAACAAAGAGAATAGTTTAAAAATATAAAGGTGACCACTGTATAACTAGTATAATGTACAGGTGAGCATAACAGCATACAAGCAAAAATATTGAAAACAATAAATATAATAAAATAGGTAAATACATGAATAAAGTCATTTATGATGGGCTGGTGCCTCCTATGAACTGGGTGTTTTGACTTTATAGTTGCTTAATACTATCAATAAATGTGACACATTTGATTTATTTCATGATGAAATCTTTCAAAATGACTAAACATGTGGGAGTATGATGAAGTGTATCTGTCCATAGTAATTGTTTTTACTAAATGTTCATTTATGTATTTTGAGGTGGGGGGAGTGCATGTGAGATCTGGGGAGGGGCAGAGAGAAAGAGAGAATCCCAAGCAGGCTCTGTGCTGTCAGCAGACAACCGGACACAGGGATTGATCTCATGAACCTTAATAAGATCATGACCTAAGCTGAAATCAAGAGTCTTGACGCTTATCCAATTGAGCCACCCAAGCACCTCCATACTAATTGTTTTATTAAGAGCACAGGTCTGGGGCACCTGGGTGGCACAGTTGGTTAAGAGACCCACTCTTGATTTCAGCTCAGGTCATGACCCCAGGGTCATGGAATCGAGCCCCACATTGGGTTCTGCGCTGTGTGTGGAGCCTGCTTAAAGATTCTTTCCCTCTCCCTCTGCCCCTCTACCCTACTAGCTCTCTCCTCTTTCTCTAAATAAATAAATAAACAAACAAACAAATAAAAGAGCATAGATCTGTTTCCTTAGCTCTTAATCATTCTTGCAAACTTGATAAGAGATCTCATCATTTCTTGCTCTGACAACTGTCAAAATAGTAGCTCTATTCTTCCTTTTTCAGATAGAGACTGATTCCTTGGAAGTCCTTCTTCATAGCCAGTATGGAGTCTTCATTGCTCAGGGGAGTCTTTCTATCGCCAACTCCTGCACCAAGCAGGTTTCCAAGACTTCCCAATGCTGATGAAGTCCAGTAAAGAATACTTTCAGGTCAGTCTCAATCCAACCAACCTCATATGCTGAACGTGTTTAAGATATGCTGGAGCATCTGGTGGAGGCCACTGGCAGTCTGAACCTTCTGGAACTTGCTGCCATCTACTGAAACCAAAGAAAACGATTGGAACCAGCTAACTCTCCATCAGTAGGGGATTGGTTAAATAATTTATGATACAACCATTTATAGGGAAACAATATAAAGTTCTCTAGTTACAAATATGGGAAGATCTCCAAGTGAAAAAAAAGTAGGTGCAGAACAGTGACTACAGTTTGCTATCTTTTACATGAAAATAGAGTATAATAAAATGTTATATTCTTACTAGTTTGCATATGCATAAAGAAACTAGACAGATTTGAAAGACATGAATCCCTTCAGACTGTGGAAAGTGTTGGAAGAAATTGTGTCACAATGTACATTTATTCATATGCCGAAATTTAAGTTTACCACGAAAGAAATTCAAGCTAATAAAAATATTCATAAAGGGAAAAATAGAGGGGAAATGCACAAACATTGCTGGTGATCACATTTTGGGAACATTTTTATATGTCTTGAGTCCCATCCTTAGGATTTATCCAAAAACGGGGGAAAGTTTTGTGCCTAGATTTTATAAGTTTATTAGAGACTATAAAAGAATGAAGTACAAGAAGTTATATATATTCAGGAACAAATAATGGGCAAAGGAAACTATAGTATGTATATTCATTGGAAAGTTGTATAGCCACGTAAAGATGTGTGAGCGGGAAACAATTACTGATGATGGAATTGCATTTTGAGGACAAAATTTAGGCTACGTTATTCACATAGCGGGGTCACAGTTTGGTTACTGGGAGACGCACGATGTATGTTTCAAGTGATTAGTAATTTGAAAATATGAACCCAAGTTATAATTGAGGTGTTATTATGTTGTGCCGGTTAGAAATCACAGCTAACGTGCTTTATTGAGGCACAGTGTTAAGCATCTTCCTCCTCCGCCCTCTTTACTGCCCCATTTCTTTTCAATTCATACAAAAGCCGCATTTCATTGTTATTCCAAAGGCAGAAGCCAGGAAGTACAAATCTTAAAGAAAAAGTACGAATTGAGGAGGAGAGCTCGGAGGCCGCGACACGTTTATACCACACGCGCAGCATAACATACGGTCACCCGTTCCGGCCCATTGAATCCCACCCACGCAGCGACCCAGAGAGGCCCCGCTCGCGGCCACACCACACCCCTCCTCCTCCCCAACCCCCGCCCTTTGCGTCTCCCCCGTCCTTCCTCCCCATCCCCCATACGTCCGCCCACTGACGAGGTCGGACGGCTGCGCAGCCGCAGTAGCTGCCGCGGCCGCTCCTAGCCCTGGGGATCCTGGGACGAGGCCTTTCCGGAAGGAGCGGCTCGGCGTCCGGGGCTAGGCCCTTGTTCCAGGCCCGGGCTCAAGCCAGGCCCTCGTTCCAGGCCCTCGTCCTAACACAGCTCTCCGTAGCCGCCGCGACGCTCTGGTGACAGCGGAGGGCGCCGCGGGCCGCTCGCTGAGGTGGCCGGCCTCGCCGCCAAGCGAGCCGCAGTACGTGGCGGCGCCTCCCCCTTGGCCCGGAGCGGAACTGCTGGAGGAGCGGCAGCGCAGGCCGGACGGACCAGGTGAACCGGGTCACTTAACAGCTTTCTGGTGATGAATCATCTGCATGACGGTCAGATTTGAGGTCCACAGCCCTTTGTGGTCCTGCTATCGGACAGTTTTCAGTGGATGACTGACTGGTGTGATCTGAGGGGTGCCGCAGGGACTGCTTGCCCTTGATAAGGAAAGCGAGCTCCCCGGCTCTTTGGACGGCCTCGTTTCCTTGAAAGCTGTCAGATTATAACTTCTTTCTCCGGCACAGATCTGTGCAAAAGGAAGGCTTTCACACATGAAAGTGTCTCTTGGTAACGGCGAAATGGGCGTCTCCGCCCATTTGCAGCCTTGCAAGGCAGGAACCACACGTTTTTTTACCAGCAATACTCACAGTTCGGTGGTATTGCAAGGCTTTGATCAGCTTAGAATAGAAGGATTGCTTTGCGATGTGACACTGGTACCGGGTGATGGAGATGAAATCTTCCCCGTTCACAGAGCTATGATGGCGTCTGCTAGCGATTATTTCAAGGCTATGTTCACGGGTGGAATGAAAGAACAAGATCTAATGTGCATTAAGCTTCATGGGGTGAACAAGGTTGGTCTGAAGAAAATAATTGATTTTATTTATACTGCAAAACTTTCTCTTAATATGGACAATCTTCAGGACACGCTTGAAGCTGCCAGCTTTTTACAAATCTTACCTGTTTTGGACTTCTGTAAAGTATTTCTTATTTCGGGAGTCTCTTTAGATAACTGCGTTGAAGTTGGACGAATTGCTAACACCTACAATCTCATAGAAGTGGATAAGTATGTCAATAATTTCATCCTGAAGAATTTTCCTGCATTATTGAGTACTGGAGAGTTTCTAAAACTCCCTTTTGAACGGCTTGCCTTTGTGCTTTCCAGTAATAGTCTTAAGCACTGTACTGAACTTGAGCTCTTCAAGGCTGCCTGTCGCTGGCTAAGGTTGGAAGACCCTCGGATGGATTATGCTGCAAAATTGATGAAGAATATTCGATTTCCATTGATGACACCACAGGATCTCATCAATTACGTGCAGACAGTAGATTTCATGAGAACAGACAATACCTGTGTGAATTTGCTTTTAGAAGCTAGCAATTACCAAATGATGCCATACATGCAGCCAGTGATGCAGTCAGATAGAACTGCCATTCGATCTGACTCGACGCACTTGGTCACATTAGGAGGAGTTTTGAGGCAGCAGCTGGTTGTCAGTAAAGAACTGCGGATGTATGACGAAAGGGCACAAGAATGGAGATCTTTAGCCCCCATGGATGCTCCTCGTTACCAGCATGGTATTGCTGTCATTGGAAACTTTCTTTATGTAGTTGGTGGTCAAAGTAATTATGACACGAAAGGAAAGACTGCTGTCGATACAGTTTTCAGATTTGATCCTCGGTATAACAAATGGATGCAGGTTGCATCTTTAAACGAAAAGCGCACATTCTTCCACTTGAGTGCTCTCAAGGGACATTTATATGCTGTTGGTGGGCGCAGTGCAGCTGGTGAGCTGGCCACAGTAGAATGTTACAACCCAAGGATGAATGAGTGGAGCTATGTTGCAAAGATGAGTGAACCGCACTATGGCCATGCCGGAACAGTGTATGGAGGCTTAATGTATATTTCAGGAGGAATTACTCATGACACTTTCCAAAATGAGCTTATGTGTTTTGACCCAGATACAGACAAATGGGCACAGAAGGCTCCAATGACTACAGTCAGAGGTCTGCACTGCATGTGTACAGTTGGAGACAAGCTCTATGTCATTGGTGGCAATCACTTCAGAGGAACAAGCGATTATGATGATGTTCTAAGCTGTGAATACTATTCACCAACCCTGGACCAGTGGACTCCAATTGCTGCTATGTTAAGAGGTCAAAGTGATGTTGGAGTTGCCGTCTTTGAAAATAAAATCTATGTTGTAGGTGGATATTCTTGGAATAATCGTTGTATGGTAGAAATTGTCCAGAAATATGACCCAGAGAAGGATGAGTGGCATAAAGTTTTTGACCTTCCAGAGTCTCTTGGTGGCATTCGAGCTTGTACTCTCACAGTTTTTCCACCTGAGGAAAACCCTGGGTCACCTTCTAGAGAATCACCTCTTTCAGCACCTTCAGATCATTCTTAGGACTAAAATGTAATACCTTTACAGCGCATCATGGATGATCTCACACTTCCCCTTCAGTTGTTATCTTCTTACAGCGACTGGTACAGTTAATTAGATAAGTGGTAACTGATGTTATTTGTATTGTTTGGCTTAGTGTGTTTATCATATGGTTAACAAATGTATTCTGAAAATGTATTCAACATAGCCAGCTGTTTTAACAGATGTAAGAAGATAGGTAGCGAACTGTTTTAGATGTCTTTGTGGTGTTGTGTAAGTCAAATTGTAGGTGATCGTAGTAAATGTGTAACTGTGTTCATTATGCTTCAAAGTGGAGAGTTTTCATCTTTGACTTCAAAACATCAAAGGGAGGCTGCCTGCTCTAACCTAAAATAAAAAAAGGTCGCCAAATATTATTACCTACGTCCCTTTTTTCATATAGTTTTTGACATCGTTGCCAATTCACCAGATCGTGTGAGTGCATTCAGAATATGTGAAGTTTCTTAGAAATAAACAGTAAAGCCCTAAGTCAGGGTTTTGTATTTCTCTCTGGAGAGGGAAAGGGAGAGAGAAAATATAAGGTCGTGTGCACGCACACACACCTACATACTGTGTATATACATTCGTATGTCCACACACAGGCACATCTAATTTTTAAATTGATATTTCATCTGTAGGGAAATTGTTTTTAAATTAATTTTTTGTTCTACCTAGCAGCTATTTATATTCAAATGGGAATTCAGTACCAGAGAATAGGTGTCTGTAGAGTCATACTAAATTGAGACAGATAAGGGCTACAACAGATTAAATTGACCACCAAATTTGTCATTTGACTAAATTGTCACTTCAGATGAAACTTCTTTTACTTCTTCTGCTTGTGAATTCTGTGGAGTTGCTTTTATACAGGTTATTTAGCAAAGTTCAGGTTTCTGAGAATTGGTTTAGCTGAGTAAATGTAAGCTGTGCTATTTTCTACCTTTTTATTCGGTAAAACTTACATGAAGACAGCTGAGAAAGGAATATGCTGAACAAAACTATAGGGTTTTAAGTTCGGTTTCCCAACTTAGTCATTCTAACATGATCATTTGATTTGGGGTGGTTGCTCCAGCTTTGTGTGATCTGCCTCAAGGCTGTGATTTGAGCAGGAGAGATACAGTCAGTTCTGTGTCAAATCAGAATAATGTCCTTTTGGCTATGTCTAAAGAACAGGACCAACTTCAGATTCCCTAAGAAGCCAGCTACAGAAAGCTTAGGACTCTGCTGTCTTTCAGGCAGTACTAAAGTCGATGTTCAGTCTTTAAAATACCAAGGGCATCCCTCCTGGTTGCTAATCACATGGGGAGATCCCAGTGAGACTTTTTCAGCAAAAGGAGTCCTCTTTATGTAGTGAGTGATTCTGGAGAGGTACTTTCCTAGAATAATTGCCTACCTGAAGAAAAAATTTACATATGTACTTTGACATACATATGAATATGTATATCCCTACACTTGGGAAGTTGTCATAGTATAAACCAGGAACAATCTTTTTATTGACAATCCCATAATAAAACTCAGGAACCAAGACAAGAGGAATTGGCTTCCAGGGATCTGAACCTTACTGCCCATACAAGTGTTGATTCATTTTAATGCTTTTTATGATTTCTGCATTGGCAGAAAATTTCATACTTTCTATGTTTTTTTAAATGACTAATTTTTTATTACTAAAAGTAGCACATTGAGTACATTTAGAAAATAGAAAAAGTAGAAATTGATGTAAACTTTGTGCATTGAATAAGCAAGAAATGGCATCCCAATCATTTCTTTATTAATAAGGTTAAATATTTGTGTGGTTTCTTTTGAGTAGCTGTGTTTCCTGTGTTTGAATGTGCATGTCTTTTACCCTTTTGATGATACCTATTGGAGTTGCTTTGTTTTTTCATACCAAGTTATAGGTTCTCTATATAATAAATGTAATTTAACTGGCATTTGCTTGCATCGATTTCATTTTCTCAATCTATTACAGTTTTACAAAGGCAGGGCCATTTAGTTAATTTTTGAGGTAAAATTTGTCCATCCTTTTGCATTTTGACCTTTTAGGGATAATTCTGCTATAGTTCCTTTATTATTATTTTTTTAAATTTATGTTTATTTTTTAAGTAGGCTTCACACCCAGCCTGGGGCTTGAACTCACAACCCAGAGATTAAGCGTTGCGTACTCTACCAACTGAGCCAGCCAGGCATCCCTCCTTTATTTTTTACCTAGTATTGATGTATGACTCTTTTGGCGCCAATTCTGACAGGCTGAGATGGTATTGCCCTGTTTGCCTTCTAAAAGCACAAGCTTTTCTCTTTGCCTTGTTGAAGAAAGGTTTCTGCCTTCTGTTACATTTGACTCTGTTGCTTTGTAATTAGCTAAATGTTGCCTAACTGCTCCCCCTATATCCCCTGCCTGCAGCCTCACACACTCCACCTCTCATCCTTTCACTTTATAATTTTCTGCAGTTGACCTCTCTCTTGGCAATCATAAAATAGCTGACTGATGCGATTCAAATACTAGTAATTACATCCGGAATTCCTTGCTTATAAAGAAAACTTCAGTAGCTTTGAAATGATTGGAGCTGATTTTTTTTTTTTTTACAGAAAAGATGAAAAAAGGATAAACTCCAAGTACATTAAACATTTCTTAACATTTCTTATTTTCATTTTTCTAAGTTTAAAAATTATATTTTTCTGATTATAGAAGTATTATAGAAGCATTATAGAAAGTATAGGAAAATAAAAGTGAAAAGTATAAGTTATCAATGATTCCATATGTCAATGGTAATTTCTGTTAATATTGGGTATATTGTGCATATACACATGTACAGACATCAAATATTTTTCAAATCTGCCAGACCCTAACCTAAAATCTGGATGGTAAGAGGAAATAAATTCAACTTTCAAAGACACATGCTGCTATCATGACTTTCTCTCCAGGTTTTACAAAATGTGTATAAAATAGTAAATAATGTGCTTTTTTCCTAATTATCAAATACATGTGCATTAAGAAAAACATTCTGTTTTTACTCAGGCAAATCCATACTTCTATTTGTCCCTTCTTGTCAACAGAATTCCTGTAGTTTACCTGCAAACCAAACACATTCAATCATGTTCAAATTTTTCTGGTTTGTAATTAAAATTACCTGGTTTTGATTATAAAGACCCAACTATGCTCCTGCAGAACATTTCATTCAAAACTACAGAAATCTGTCAAAAGCAGTGAAACCAATGTCCTATCCCCAGCTCACCCGTTTAATTAACTAAAGACCCTGGGTAAGTAAGCTCTCAAAGCTTGAGTTTCCCCTTTAGTATGTGAAATTAGGGTGGGTGTTAATAATTGTATCTCTATCAAAATTATAAGTAGAAAATGTTACAAAGTGATTAGCATAAGATGTGCACAGAGAAGCATTTAGTAAACGATAGTGGGTATAATAAAATTGGCATCATTTTGCATCACAATTTTTTACTTCAGTTTTATCTTAATGATTAAAAAAATTTTTTTTAACGTTTATTTTTGAGACAGAGAGAGACAGGGCATGAATGGGGGAGGGGCAGAGAGAGAGGGAGACACAGAATCTGAAACAGGCTCCAGGCTCTGAGCTGTCAGCACAGGGCCCGACGTGGGGCTCGAACTCACGGACCATGAGACCATGACCTGAGCCAAAGTCAGCCGCTTAACCGACTGAGCCACCCAGGTGCCCCTTATCTTACTGATTTTTATAGGTTATTTTCTTAGAAAGTATTAAATGCCTGTACAATTTTCCACTCACGAATGTACCTTCATATAGTTTCCATTTCCCAATAAGTGTATATTTAAATATCTACCTTATGTTTTCACCATTATAAATTGAGCAAGATTTTATATTCCTACATAAAATTTTGTCCCTGTCTGACTCTGATAAATTCTAAAGAAGTAAAATCTAACTCAAATAGTTTGGGTTCTTGAAAAATATTTCCAAGGATGCGCCAATGTGCATTTTCCAGCAGAATGTGTTTGGTGATTATTTCAAAGGAAATCTTTGCAGTTATAGTTACCTTCCTGGTTTGGGTTTATATGTTTTCAATTACTGACGACACTGAATTTTTTGCTTATTGAGCAGGTGCATTCTTGTGAGTCATTTTTTCCTGTCTTTTGCTTTAAATGTCCTATCTGCTACAAAGACTTTTTTTTTTTTTCTTAATTGGTGAGGGCAGGTCTACTCAACTTTTTAAGGTGAGCTATATAATCAACATATGCTAGTTCAGGTTCACATTATGATTTGATAATATGTATATGCTGTGATAAGGTCACCACAATAGGTGTAATTAACATTCATCACCACACATAGTTACCGATTTTTTTTTCCTGAAATGAGAACTTTTTAAGATTTACTTTCTTAGCAACTTTCGTGTACACAGCCGTATTAACTGTAGTCACTTGCTGTGCATTACATCTGCAGGGCTCATGTATCTTATAACTAGAAATCTGAACCCTCTGACCACCTTCACCCATTCAATTTGACACAGCCAAATATGTCCATCTTTTTTGCATTTTGAACTCTCAGTGATAATTTGGCTGTTTTTTTGTTTTGTTTTGTTTTACATAGTACTGATGTCACATTTCTTGCCCTTTATCCTATTGCTTTATCAGTGCTAATTCTTAACTTGCTAAGGTGGCATTTACTGCTTATCTTCTGTTCAGATAGCTTTTCTTTCTGATTGAAATGAAGATGAATTTTTAAAACATTTATAAAAATCCTTTTATGTTAATATTAGTCTCTAATTACAGTATTTCCCCATCTTTTTTCTTTGAGTATATGTCTTAACATGCAAGGTTTTTTGGGTTTTTTTTGTAATGTGGTGAAATTACTTTTTCCTTTGTCATTTTTAAATGTTTTCTTGCATATTTTCCCTCCATGATATGGTACAATTATCCCAGTATTTTATATTATTATGAATATGATTTTTTATTAGACTTCTGGCATGAAATCTAATGTATGTTTTCAAATTGTTATCCAATTGTCCCATCACCACTTTTTGAATAATTTTCACTTTCTCACTGAATTTTTAGGCTTTTTAAAATCGTATAATAAAATCTTATATGGGTCATTTAGGGTCTCTTTCTTCAGTTCCAATGACCTTTTATTCAAACTGTCTTTGGTATATAGATTGCTGTTTTGAATGAGATTTTGTTTTCATCTTGTATTCCAGACTTTATT